GATTCAGACCAGCCCTCAGAAGTTCACAGTCTACGAAGGGAAGCAACTGTTCATTCTGTCCCTGCTGAGAAGAATGCTCAGGACTCTCCTGTCAAATGGCACAAGTCTAGCCAAAACTTACCAGAAAAAAGGCAAGCCGTCAACATACAAGTAACAAAAGCAGAAACAGAACGGCTTTCACTTTAAGTCTTTAATATATCCAATTACTCTGATTTGCTTTTTTAAAATCTTGAAAACCACAATCTTGTTTTTACTTTATTTTCTCATTTTCCTATCCAGACACCATATATTTGATTCAATTTACCCTCAGTAAAGGAAGAGGGCTATTACACCCTCCCCTATTAAATGTTTCCAAGCTACTGGTGGAAATGAATTCTATACTCTGTCCCTGGAACTTAAAAACCTCAATGTCTTAATAAACTCTATGCAAGGAAAAGCCACTTTTTGGTGGCTACAGATTCTTCATGAAATGTGATAATGGCTTGTATTTAGTACAGAAATCTCAATCCTGCTTAATTCCTGAATAGAATGATTTTGGAAAGTAAACTCTCTCATTCATTTACCCAGCCTGGAAAAGTCTGAGGATGGCAATGTGTTTGCCATGTTTATCACACGAAGGCATGTAGTTTCATGGATCAAGTACACACAAGGGAAGAATGTTGACAAGGAAAGTGGCTGGTGTTTGTTGGCACCAATTACACAGGAACAGAATCAGAGGTTAGGAAAGCTCACCACCATCACCCTGTGAGCCAGCCAGGATTCAAACCCAGACCAGCATGATTCCCGGTCAAATACTCTCCCCCCTGCCGCCCTTAGACTACATTTCAGCAGAACCCAGGGCATGAATGAGAAACAAATACATGGATGATTCTAACTGGGTTCTCTTCTCATGTTTCATACATATACTGGTGACAACTAAGCATCTAGCCAGCAATCATTCCCTTGAGAATGTATCTCTGTATTTCTGGTACCACAGTAAGAAGAGAGTGCTAATTCACTGTAGGTCGTTAAAAGTCATTTTCTCCAGGATGACAGTTCCTAAACTGATCTGCTGGGGCATGTCAAAATGTGACCCTGGGAACATGGTACCTGAGTCAAATGTCAAAATTAACAATCATCAAAGAAGCAGAACATTTAACTGAAAAGTAGTGTTTGGGTTCATATCCTGGTGGATAGTGGTGAGTGTCTCCCTTGGAAGTGAAGAGGAGAAAGGTCTACGGCAAAGACATCAAAACTGAGCCTCGGGCTGTATGACATAAGGTCCAGATAACACAGCAGCTATGTGCCTTTTCTTTTTCTTTACAATTTTGAATATTTAAAAATATTCCTCTATATGTAGACTGTGAACAAAAACTTGAAAAGCAGAGAAAAAACCACTTTCATAACCTTCACAATCTATTAGAAAAAAACTGTATTTTACTTAATAGATTAGAAATTACCCCATTCTTTCAAGGATCTTCTAGAGCATCAATGTCCAATGGAAATATTATATGAGCAGGTACGGCATTTCAAAATTTTAGTAGAAACATTTAAAAAGAAGTATTAATTTTAATAATATATTTAACTCTATATATCCCAAATACTATCATTTCAACATATAATCAACATAAAAAGTATTAAAAATATTTTACATCCTTTTTTCCTAACACTAACACTTCAAAATCTGCTGTGTACTTTGCACGTAATGCCCATCTCAATTCAGGTACTAAGTTTTCATCAGAAATACCTGACCTGATTAAACCATATAAAATGTACAGTTGAAAAATAGATCTGCATGCCCAAGTTGCCTCAAACATGCGTAAGAGTTTTCCAGTAACTGAATTAACTATCAATTCTAAATTTTCAATGAACTAAAAATTCAGTGCTTCAGTCACACTAGCCATGATTCAAGTGCTCAACAGCCACACGGGGAGAGTGGCTACCAGAATGGACAATGCAAGTCTAGAGCTCTCATTTCGCTCATCTGGTCAATTCTAGCAAAAACTCCCCCAGATGGGGAAAGATTCGTTTACTCGTGAATAGAAAACCAAAGAAGACTAACTCCCAATGCTTCACCCTTCTGATGAGGGAGTCCCACTTTGGAGGATAAGGTCACTCTCGATTTATTCAGGAAAAAGATGATCCTTCCTGATCTAAATAACATAACATGACACAAAAGGCAGCTCAATAAGCCAAAGTTCAATTTGAAGAGATTTTAAAACTATGGATATTTTTTCAAGTCAGAGTCTCTGCCTCCCTTCTTGTGTCCTGGCGAATTTATGAGCATATTTACTGAGATTCAATAGGTGCTAGTTCCATATGCCTCACTCCACACACAATACATCATTTAATCTCACAGCAATCCTGTGTGAGACAGGTGAGAGCCAGAGAGGGTGTTAATAACTTGTTCAAGGTCATACACCTTATTATAAGGTGTAGAGCTGGGACTCAAGCCCAGAAAGTCTGATTAGATTTTTTTTAAAAGCCTGCTCAAAAGAAGCCCCCTAATACCAACTACACACCCTAAATTCACGCTTTTCAAAGATTTCCCACATACACACCCTAAAGTCACGCTTTTCAAAGATTTCTCACAGTTCGCAGAGTAGGCAGGGCAGGAGAGAGCAGGTACTACCTCGCCACTCGACCAGTGAGGCAGAGGAGGTACCTGGCAGGGCCGTTCCTCCATCCCACATCCAGGGCTTCTTCCAAGGCCCCTGATGCTGCTAATACCCCACACACATGCTATCTTTACCTCGCTGAATCCTCCAAAGCACTCTGGGAGGAAGGGGTATCCACACATAAAGAGGTGCGGGTTCCATCAGGTAAAGGAACATGCCTTAGGTCACACAGCCAAATGGCACCACGTCTGGGATCCCAACCCAGGTCTGTGCCCAGCAGAGATGGACTCTCAGCCTTGGACCACCTGAGGACAGGCTCCCCTCAGACTGCAGTGACTCCTCATTCAAGAGAAACCTTTCAACAAGTTGATATGATGTGAGTAGTCAGATTTCTTCATAATTCACATGCTGTTATTTCAGAAAGGCCACTCCTGTGTCTGACTTGGTCAAGTTTTACTGTATTTGTATGGGATGAACTCACAATTTAAAAAAAAAAAAAGATAGAAGGTGAGTTTTATCTGGCTAAATCTTCAGAGAGGGAGATTTCAAGGATGAACATGACTCCTGGAGGCACTGGCAGAATGGAACTGGCTTCTCCCCAGAGCTGATTAAACAGGCCAGCCTGGCCAAGATCCAGGGTGACAACCCACAGTGGGGGACTAAATCATCACTGGAATACATGGGAAATATGGAGCCACTTAACTCGGGCGTTCACATGCGACTTCTTACATAATGGACAAAATGGCAATTGGACCTGTTTCCACTCAAACAGACAGTGCCTGGGAGTTGAAATAAACACATTCCTCACCAGCACAGATCTGTCTCTGTTGAGAATATTTTCCCTTGTAGATCTGTAGGAGTGAAAACAGGCCTCACTACCAACCCCAATGTCACCTGGCTGACAGGCATCTGAAAGTCTGGACCTGAACAATGCCTGGCAGAGTGTTATTATTAACCAAATTTTAAACAGACTTATGAACACCTGAGTCAGAAAATCACATGTAATAAATCCCTTGTTTTCAACATACGGGAACAGATATATATTTTTTATTCATAGTCTTCATTAATAGAAAATCACTTTCATCTACTCCCAGTAAATAAATAATGGAACAGATATTTCAAGATTATCAGTTTGATAAGGTGCCAATGATTAACCTTCACAAGACACCCACCCATCTTGGGTCAGCCCTGGCTTTCCCATGAGAAGGAACTTTACTCAAATAATTTCATAACTCACAAGTGTTTACAGTTCCCATTAAAAAAAAAAAAAAAAAGAACCCTTGGGGCGCCTGGGTGGCTCAGTCGTTAAGTGTCTGCCTTCGGCTCAGGTCATGATCCCAGGGTCCTGGGATCGAGCCCCGCATCAGGCTCCCTGCTCAGCGGGAAGTCTGCTTCTCCCTCTCCCACTCCCCCTGCTTGTGTTCTCTCTCTCGCTGTGTCTCTCTCTGTCACATAAATAAATAAAATCTTTAAAAAAAAAAAAAGAACCCAAGCTTCCTAATCTAACCCAAGTAGTAGTAGCTGTTAGAACATTTTAATAAGATTTCAGAAATCAATAGTTCAATTCATGATGTAAGGGCAATTTTGCCTTCCCCAGAATCTGTAAGTTAAAAAGATCACCGTTCCACAGTTGAGATGGTGTCTGTGAAAATATTCTGTGAATTCACTGTATATGGTAGAGCCTCCAGGAGAGGGTGTCAGTGGGTCCCATATCCAAACCACATACTGGCTCTCTTGGCCTGAGCTGTATCCTCAAGTTCATTACAAGGCCCCTGGGGGACCGGGTTGAATACTGTCTGCTTTTTTAGAATCAGAGATGGATCAAAGTCTTTTAAAACAATTATTTAATTGATCTTCCTGAATGCATACTGTAGATTACTCAACCCCTATTATTGTTTCTAACATTTTCCAAAAGTGACCTTTATAAATCAGAATCTATAGACTCAATCATACATCACCTATTAGTCAACTGTTTTCAACTTTTATTTAGGCAGTTCCTCTACCTGAGCTGTCATCAAGTAATAAAACTGGGTAATTTGAATTGGCCATCTCTACTTCCCCTTTCACAGAGAAATGGTAACAAATGGTGAAATGGTCCACAGAGAACTCAAAAGGAATAACAACTTAGAGTCAGCTATGCCCATTATAAAGAGCTTGGAAATTTGCTTATGAATGGTCACAGAACCTTTACAGGGTCTTTTACAACATTTGGGTATGGTCATCCAAGAGGTATTTCTAACCAAAACAAAACAAAACAAAACAAAAAACAAAAAACCTAGTGTTACCATTCAAGATCCAAAAGTTTGAAACACTGCACTTCTTTCAAGAAGTAATTTGCTACCCACCTGGAAAGTGTATCCAAAGAATTGTTATAATAAAGGGTATCTGACTTCGACTACTTACCTATTTTATCTGCAGGAATGCTGGGAAGTGTCAATGAACAACTTCAGAAAAATGCCACCTGGAGAAACAAATTGAAAAAAAACTTAAATTAAAATAAAAAAACAAAGGTTTTTTTTTTTTTTTTAAACACAAAGAAGACTTAGCATACAATTTTATGTCTCATTAAAATATGTAATGTTTCAAATATTGGCCTCCAGGCAGCAAATAGTTCAATGTGCATTAGAACATAGCCACCTGTTTGTGGGAACAGCCACAGGTTCGTGGGAACACTGATGTACTAACACAGAGTCCAAACCAACGATGAACCAGAAAAGGTAAGAGAGCAGTGGGGGAGGTACAGCCCATGAACATGCCCCTTATTAAGCCCTTTCCATTCCCCCACAAAGAGACCAACTTGAAAACACAATTTGTGTCCTTCAGGGCACTTTATAAACAGTCTTAAAAGGCTCCAATACTCCTGAAACAAATTAAGAATGAAATATATAATTGTGAATGAGGAACTATCCTGGCAGTACTCAATATCCTTTCCAGTAACTCTGCTAACTTTTTTTCAAGCTAAACTCACAAGGATGTCCAAGAATGGAGAAAGGAAAAGTGGCCATTACAACTCTAACACAGGAAACAAAGGAATCAAGAACTAAGAATTTATCTAATGATTAGTTTACTCAGAAATCAAGCATTCCTTTTGGTGTTCTCAAAGTCTTCTGGTAATCTTAGAAAATTATAAACCTATTAATATGTTCACAAAACAAAGAATCCCAAAATGTCCATTCGTTCACTGCTTTGAAATATTAAACATAAATGGAACAAATTTCTAATACAAAATATCACAGTTACTATTTGGTGGAAATATATTATATATCAGCATGATGTGGCATCAGATTATAACCTTTCCAGATAGACAGTATGTCCTTTGACTGTTGAGGAAACTAATGTTGAAAAAAGCAGAGAAACTTCCCCAGCATTACAGAGACCCAGGGTTTCCAAACGGCAATCCTTCCATCCTGTCATGTGGCCCCCTGCAAACACCTTCTACTCTACACCTGCCAGTCTACTCATTACTTCTCCAAATAGAAACCTGACATTCCTTAACACAAAAGCTCTGGAAAACAAATCAACTAGCAGATAAAATTAACTTGTGCTTTTTGTTTCTTCATTTCAAAATGGTTAGCCTAATCATGCTATTTAGGACTGTAATTTAACATTGCATATAAGTAAAAATGTAGAAAGAAAGAAGAGGTTTAGAGTTCGAGAAATAAAACACACAACTAGGAGTGAAGAGGTGTTTTTAACTTCAGGTAAGACAGATGAAACAAAATATTTGACAGCTTCAATTCTATTGGTAAGCAGAAAAACAGGAAGTCTACGTGCCCATTTTCTATTAACAAACTTTCAAATATCCCATCATCAAATTTTGATAATGAAAGTCTGTAATATCGGGCCACAAATATCCATACTTACATCCAAATAACTAGTTTAACAGCAGCAGTATCAGTGTTAATCTAAACTGGACCTGAGGTTGAAAAGCCAGTGTGGGGCTTAAAGGCTCCTCTATCTAAAGACATCATTTTAGTTCAAAAACAAACTTGAAGATACTGAACAACAGTCATTGGGTTTCACTTTATAAAAAATAAATACACAAAAGAATTCTGAATTCATAAGGTTCTTTGTTATAATAGCTTAGGGGAGTTATGATTTTTTTAAATGGTTCTTTATAAGTTAATTACTAGTTAAATTCCAAGCATTTCCCACAATTTAATTTTACCCCTTTAGGGAAAGTCACAGGAAGTCATGATCAGTATTTTTATCTGAAAACTGCTTCTGTGAAATAAACTACTAGGATTATTATAAATGGGTCTGTTGTGGTGGAGCTCTTGATCAACATTTCATTACCTCTCAAAGCCAAATGGGTAACAAAAACACTGACTTCAAGCATAGTTCAAAATCAAAGATAACATTTTAAAAAATTTTTGTCACATACAACGCCAGCAAAGCTCTGGACAGTTAAGAAAGATCTCCAACCTCTAACAGTAATAGAGAAGGCAGGGTCATATCCTGATTCCCACCTAAAGTTTTCCAAACTCACGCTGCCAGTAAAAGGCACTTCCTAGAATAAATATATTTGGTCTGAAGCTCTGAAGAAAAAAAGCATTTGGGACTAAGTTTTCAGTATCATGATTACTGACAACAAAGCCCTATCTTGTGAAACTACCAAAATGATCAGAAAGATAAAACATGACAATAGGGCATTACAGTTATTTTTATTTATTAAAAAAGTCATTTTAAACATTCAGTAGACTAAAAGTATACTAAGTCATAGAGCTCTCAAACGTTCACAAAAAATAATGACTCTATTAGGCATTAACTGTCAGGCACTGATCTATGTACTTGATGGGAATTAACTCACTTCTCACAAAAATGCTGAAGTAGGTACTAATATTATCCCACTTTAGAGATGAAGAAGCAGGCACAGAGAAGTCTCTCAAAGTTACATGGCTTGTAAGAAGTGAAGATTCAAGTCCATATACATGACCACATTTAATCCTAAACAACCATATTAACAGAGGCAGGTCAAAAAAAACTGAGCCCCATTTTGAATCTGAGGGAAAACGAAATTCTGAGGAGAAGAGACGGACTTCCCCCCAAAACACACTGCCCATCAGCAACACGGGTAAGAAGAGAACCCAGGGCATCCAACTCTAGCGTCGGGGCTGGGTTTTAATTTGCTTGTTTTTGTTTTAAATTCTGTTAATTAACATGTAACTCACTGAGGAGAGTGTATCCTGCCTTTAATCTCTGAGAAGACGCTTCAGGGTCCTCCCAGGGGCTGTGGCGACTCTAAGAACATCTAGCCCAGTGCCCACTGAGGTATCATCATGCTGCCATTTCACCAGTTTCCCTTCCTCTATGTGCAATTACGTTTTTCACTTACTGGTTAACAAACACAGAGGAGCTTATAAAAATCAGAAATAGATGACTTTATTATTTATCCTTCTTTCATCTTCATTTTTATAGACCAGTAGTCTCCCTGGCCACTTAAATGAGTTATAACCTAATAAACGCAGGCACTTATTCAGCAAGTAGCCTAAATGAAATCAAAACCACCATTATTTTTGCACATTAAGGAGTTAAAAGTTTGTACTTCCCATTCATCTCCATTTGGGTTGCATGCCCTTCTGTTCCACTTCCGGAGATGGAGGGGGGTGGGGGGAACAATAGCTGCCTTCAGTGCCAAGCACAGCACCCACGTGATAGGCACCAGCTCTTAGGTATTGAATTGGATTGCCAAAAACAGGAAGCTGAGTTGTAAGACCCCTTTCTCAGTTAGAAATTTCTATGACTTGAAATGTGCTGATCTGAATTGTTTCCCGTCAACTCTGTAAAATTAGAACCAAGAAGTGTAACTTGTTTTGGAAGTTATAAGGAGAAATTCCAGGTCAACCGAAAAAAGAATGTCACAGTCAACAGAGTGGCCACACAGAGGTCCCGGCTGCCGTGGGGGGACTGAGAAGCATCGGCTCATGATCAGAGAAGCCAAAGAAGGGTAAAGTCTCAATTACCGTCCTATAACAGAGAGACTCGTTCCATGAACCCTGCGATAGTTCACTACACCCATCCTCGGTGAAAATTCGAGTTCCCATGGCAGAGCACTGTATGAGTTAAATGATGCTTTACAATTCATTTTCTCATCTGACCCACACAATGAGCAGAAGGCAGTTGGAGTGGGGGTGTAGGGCAGACATCATTTATTATTGCCACTGTACAGACTAGGAATGTGAACCACTCAAGCTAAATCACACAATCAGTAAATGCTGGATCTTTGCAACAACCAAGACATGGGCTTTTCAGCCATCATACTTATTCATCAAGGACAAGGGCAAGGATGGGCCCCCAAAACTTGAAGCATGAAAATGAAACCAAAGGAGATGAGCTAAAAACAAAATATAGTAAGAACCCTATTTCTCTTATAAACCACTCTACCTTCACCTAAAAAGTACTCTACATTTTTAGTAGACAACTCTAGGTTCTGTTTACTTGTGTCAACTAAAGGGACAGTTGTCCAAACCCTACTTCACTATGCTCTGCTGATACAACATATGTTTGTATGTGGTTCCTATTTTAAGGGGAGTTGGTGGCAATGTAACAGACACAAAGAGCACTGTCCCATTTCTACATCCAAAGCATAAATAATTGTTCAAAGACTAGGCTGAGAGGTTGTATTTCTTTCTTTCTTTCTTTCTTTTTTTTTTTAAAGTCAGTGAAATGTACAGACTCTATTCTGACAACAGGTCCAAGAGAACCTCACACTTGGGTCTGACAACAGTAGTTTAAAAGAAACGGGTCAGGCACTGAAGACTGCTGAACCTTGCAAAAAATTTTTTTTAAAGATTTATTTATTTATTTATTTGAGAGAGAGAGAGAGAGAGAAACAGCATGAGAGGGGAGAGGGTCAGAGGGAGAAGCAGGCTCCCCGCTGAGCCGGGAGCCCGATGCAGGGCTCGATCCCAGGACTCCGGGACCATGACCTGAGCCGAAGGCAGTCGCTTAACCAACTGAGCCACCCAGGTGCCCTCCTTGCAAGACTTTTTAAGGGAAGACATGAAAGTGTCAAATTTCACAAACCTGTCTCTAAGCAGAGGGAGTTGCAGGTTACCAAAGGCTGAACTGCGTTAACTCCTGTGAAATGCTGGGAACCTGAGCCTCTACAATGCCCACCCTGCCACTCGGCCACACAGTGAATGACTGAAGTTCAAGGTTCTAGAGACCTCATGGGTCTATGGGCCAAATGTTGTTCATCACAAAAACTTCCTTTTACTCTTAAGGAAGGAGAAACCACCTGGGTCAAAAATCACATCAACATGAAGCTGTTAAAGGGTAAGTTTTTAAACATCTGAGAACAACAGAATAACCTACCCATGTGCCATCAATAAGTCAGATTCAATTATACTGCCTTTTAACAATCAGGTTTGTACACCACGTTCGTTCACATGACTATTAGCCTTTCCCCAACATTTAGTTACAAATCTACTGGACCAGAAGCTCCTCCAGACTAAAACTAATTCTACCTTATACCCTTACCTATCTCCTGCACTTAGCACAGTGCATTGCACAGAGTAGACATTTCCTAAATAGTCACTGAATAAATGGATGATTTCCTACAGATAGAAAAGGCAGGATAGGGGGAAGAGAGAAATATGGGGTTGACAGAATGGAGAAAATCATCAAGCAAAGAGGACTGCGGGAATTCCAGCAGGAGAAAGTACAAGAGGCAAAGGATGAGTCAGCAGGCATGGAAGGAGCATGCGGGAGATGGTTACCCTGTCCATGTAGGGGGAATCCTCAAGTAGATGGGTTTCAAAATACCAGTGTGTGGACGAACCTCCGTGATATGCTTGGAACACAAGTGGTGGGAGACGGTGACAGGCGCAAGTGTATATAATTAAAGAGCTCTTTTGGGAATTCTGCAAAATGCTCCTCGAGATGACAACTACTCTTAATACTCTTGGCCTTTTTTTTTAACCTCGAATATAGCTATGTGATCATTCTGCAAGACAGAAACAGTTGTGAATATTGTTGGGCGCTGGTAAAGAGCAAACCTCATCAAATACCACAAGCACGTGTTCACGAATAAGTCATTTAAGGTGGACAGACGCAGGTCGTTATAGGCAGACAGGTGAGTGCAGCATGCTCGGAGTACGCGCAAGGCTGGTGGGTGGCCATGCAGGTAGCTTGCACCGGAAGAGCTGACAAGCCCTCTCTCTGTCTGACACTTCCAAATCTGGGCATCAACTTAGTAACAGGCCAATGTTTCTGAAAAACAGAGGCCAAGATTAAAACTAGAACTAAATGAAGGCTAAACATTAAAAGCCTTTCCAAAGAGGGTCATATGGACACACTCCAAACTCAGGTGAGAGCACAGAGATGGCAAGTAGAGCTGTTGCTCCCAAGCTGGCCATCAGCTATAATCCCCTTAAAGTCCAAGAATGAGCCCGTCTGACCTGTGGAAAGACCCAAAGATCCTTGTGTAGCATCACCTTCACACAGGTGAAGTTCACGGAGGGGACGTGGCTGTTACAACATCAGCACAGGCTGACTCTCATTCTGGAAATGTCTTCTTTAAAGGATCTGCAATGTCCTAAAAATGAAGGAAAGAATTCTGAGAGTCTCTGTATCCAAGCATGCTGATTCTAGTGGTGAAAGACAGTTGGCTTTGGGAGGCCTGGCTCCCATATCTAAAATATTTTCCCTTTTCATTATCTTACGTATGCAAAAAGCATTTATCTGTCCATTACTTTATCCTCCCTAGTCAAAAATTATCTGTTGGGCACCTATTCCCTGCCAGGCACCAGGGAGACCGAAACAAACAAGGCATTATTTGCTGCTCCCAAGAGAAGTATTGTCTCCCCTGCACTGCTCAGCCGTGTTCTGCCCCTTGCCCTGGTGCCTCCTGGGACTTCCACTGCACGAGGGGTCTGGTGGCCATCACGTACACAACACTCGCCGGTCACTGCTGTCTCTTCCAGGGGGACCTACATCTTCAGCTTCTGTCTACATCATCAAAGGCTTTGAGCTTTTCTAAAACCTTGACATTAGTGAGCAAGGAACAGGATTTTGGTGAAACAGAGCCAGAGAAGAGGAGCTTCGATTACCCTTGGAGAGCTCAGAAGGCCTGTGGCATCTCAGGAGGAGTGAGGATGTCTTCCAAATACATGTCGGAGGAATAAAATCACTTCAACACAAATTGAATGAGGACAGTATGAATAAGCTTTTACTGCTTGCCAGGGTAAACTTTCAAGAAATTTGTTTAAAAAAAAAAAATCTGTATCATAACATGGGGCGCCTGGGTGGCTCAGTTGGTTAAGCATCCGACTCTTGATTTCGGCTCAGGTCATGATCTCATGAGCCCCATGTCGAGCTCTGCACTCAGTGAAGAGTCTGCTTAAGACTCTCCCTCTGCCCACCTCCCTCTCTCAAATAAATAAATATTAAAAAAAAAAAAAGTAAGTTGTTTGTCCACTAGAATATAAGCTCCGTTACACAACCTTTAATGTGTTTTAGTCTGTGCTGTATAGATCCCTAATACCTGGAGTGGCACTTGAGAGCGAGTTCTCAGGGAATATCAGTTGGTGAATACATGTGTGGGCAGATGATAATGTCTTGACCAAAACAGGAAACCAAGGGAGAAAGGGAGATCAGATGAGGGTTCGGAGGAAAATCTGCTCATTGAGGCTTTTAAGCTTGAAGTACCTGGTTGGGCAGATTCCAGTAGGCATGTGAGGAACTGAGGAAAGGAGGTTGGTGCAGGTGATAGAGTTTGGGAAATTCGTACCATATAGGAGGTGTTTGAAGCCATAGGTACCCCCAGAAAAGCAATCAACTGAGTAAGGTAAGAGCTGGCTATTGTATAGTAAAATAAGTAAATAAATAATAGCATCTACCTCACAGGGGTGTGTGTACTAAAGGAAAGAGCTCATGTGAAATACCTGACCTGTCTAGCTCTTTGAGGCTTAGCCAAATTACACAGCAGGTGCTCAATAAATAGTGACTGCCAAAATGCAAACACCTTTCAAGACTGATAAAGACCATTTTTAGTGCCATTTTGTCCTCACAGCATTTGGGCACAGCATGGATGCAAGAATTGTATGTTTACACGAGGCTGTGTTTTTCTTTCGGAGGACTCTTACTCCAGTCTGATCAAAGATTAAGAGATTCTCCAGCGTTATCTACAGCATAAAATAATGCTGTCTTCCTTTTTATTATCTAGTGGGGGAAAGTAAATAGGCAGGAACACAATTACCAGAAATGGGGTATGAAAGGCTACCACTCGTTCCTACAAGGTCCATGGACATGAATGTTTACTGTGGTCCAAGCGCTGTAGCTACAGATTTAAACCTAAATCCATGAGGAGAAAAACTTGCTGCCACAGACTAAAAAAGTAGTGACAAATGTGGCATTTGAGCTAAACTCAAAGGATGAGTTAAATGTAAAGGTCCAATTTCAAGAAAGAAAAAAAAAATCACGGGTTGGCTTGGGTGGTTTGCTTTTAAGTTCGTCACTAACTATAGCTTAACTAAAAATAAGCATCCCAAGTCAATGATGGGAAAACAAACGTCACTATGAGTGCCCCATTTAGAAGAGTTAGTCAAGGAGGTAGAAGTCCAACACCAATCAACCACTAAAGTAACTGGGTTAAGTGCCTGCTGTAAGTGCTGCTGGGTCTTTCGGGAGAAGGACCCTGTGGTTTCACTGGTCAGGGCAGAGGAGGAAGTGAGCAGAATTCTTCCCCAGCTACAACTAGAGTGTCTCTGCTTTTATCTTTTTTTTTTTTCCTATATTAGAATTCTACTGAAAATTTTGTTTGAAGAAAGCACTCATTGTTAAGAACAAACATTCTGAAAGCTACTGACGTGGTAAAAACTAATTCTGGGGATAAAAATCAACAAAAGCTTTAAAATTCTGGTTTTTATACCCATTTTCACAATTGGCTCACGAGTATCTTAAGGGTGATCACTGTGGGGGTTGGCTGGTGCGATGATTAGGAAGTGCAAAGGTTTCATAATTCTGTAATGTCTGAATTCTGCTTAATAAAAATGAATATTTTTCTCACCAAAAAATGTTTGAGATACTTTACTTCAGCCTACTTGTCTTTCCTATTTTTCAAAGAAAACAAATTATAACTAAATTTAATTGCTTCCCTGGGCAAAGATGAAATCGAACGGAGGCTTCATACATTGCTGTGTTTATACTAAGAAATAAGAGAAAATGTTCCATGTTTCATTAATAGTAAAAACCTAATGATATAGAACCATTCTCTAGGGGAATGGTACGCATGGGAATAATATTTTTTTCCAAACAACTTCCATAACATTCCTGTTCTTGTACAGATGCAAATGAAGTGTTTCCAATTTTAATTACAAAATGGTGTTTAAATGAAGAAATGAGAACAAGCAGAGACAATGAACAACGGTCTTAGGGAGTTAGAGGCAATTTCTCTTCTAATGCTGGCCCTTCTCCCAGTTCCTGAAAAGGAGGATGGTATGTTCATGTTGAGCACTAGGGAGCACTATTTCAACAATCTCAGTCTAACTTAGTGTAGAAAGTTTTGTCTTCAGACCAGAGAAGCCCACAAACAGCAGGCACTGAGACTCTGGCTCACAGGGAATATTTCAGACTCTCCTTTTAGGCTGTTAAATATGCAAGCAGGGTGCCCTCCATCCACGAAGATGAACGCCAAGCCCTCTACTACCAGGACGAAGGCCCTACGAGATCCCAGGAGGAAAAGCGGAGTCTGGACATACTTCCACACTCTCTAACCCTCCCTGGGACCCGTGACATACATGTGAGAGGCAGCTGGTCGGGGTTAAAAGTACAGTCTGGCTGCACAGTCCCGCCCAGCTAACTGGCCCACAGAGCAACTGAACCCTGACCTTGGCCTCACCATCCCCATTCTCTAAGCAAATGTGTTAACTGGCTGCAGATTCCTGAACTGTGCCTCAGATGCATTCCCAAACTAACACACATACACACACACACACACACAAGTGATAGGACATAATTTTCTCTAGTGAGGAAAAACAGTTTTATTTATTAACAGCTAACCACTTACCAACAAAGTCGACTACAATCAATGGTAAACAAGAACCCATAACCTGGGATTCTTCTATGTTAGAGGGTTACAGATGCCTCCCTGAAATCTCTGGAAAACATTTTCCTGAGAAGATTCTGCTGATGCATCAGCTTTGGCTCCCAAGCTCTCATTTGCATGAACTGCAGACCATTCATGCTAGAACAGGACGATTCTTCCTTTAGCCAGGCCTTCTGCACTCGCTGTGCGTATTCCTCAGTCACCCAAACTCCACCACCTCAGCGCTCTGTGTGTCTAACTCAGAACTGCTTAGGGCGGGAAGGACGTCAGAGATGACCTAGCACAACACCATCATTTCAACAAAGCGGGTCCAGAAACAGCAAGTGACAAAAAAGTATTGGTGGCAGCCTAGGAGCAGCAAACAAGGCCCTCCCTCCTAATCCTGTGTTCGTGTCAGGGGATGAAGAACTCTCAGGGGCCCCCAGTGCTCAGATGTGCCTCAGAAACCACAGAGCAGGAGGCGGCTGGGGGGCAACTCCCCAGAACAGCTACGGTTTATTTGTTTCATATATTAGGGTTAAAAATAAGATTTTATTTGAAAGAAAGGTTTTCAGTGTAAATACACAAACATCTTGAAAACCACCACATGGCAGAACTAACTTCAAATAAAAGGAAAGTTAAAAGAGAGACAGAACTAAAAACATTGGGTCTTACTTTAATGAATGTGTCCTTTCTTAAAAGGAACGAGGAAAGAAAACAGTACTAAAACCAAATGTTACAGCTTGGAGTTCTCTCCTTTATTTTTGCCTGCCCAGGAAAATAAAACAAACAAAAAAAGACAAAGAAGAAAAACAAAAGAAAGATAATATATTTTAGAGTCTAGGTCCTTGGCAAAGTCTTAAATCCATATTGCATTGACTGGACAATTTCAAGAAATAAAGTCACAGAGGGCATTAACCTCCTAATTTAAATTCCTAAGATAAATCTTTACTTAAAAAAAAAAGAATGGAAAAAAAATGCTTCATAAATTGCCGTTGCAGATGCGGGGGGGTGGGAAGCAAGGCTCCCAATTTCACATTTTGCTTTCCTGTCTGTTGAGCACCTTTAATGCTTTCAATTTCTCCATTCCTACAAAATCAAGTCCTTCTTACAGGTGTTCATAAGCCTGTGAACTATATCTCTTTAAGGTCAGTAGGCGGGAGGGAAACTGATTTGTCACCATGTGGTAGGCTAGAGCTGGATACAATTTGCAGAAGGAGGGGAAAGCCCTGGGGATACTGGGAATCCAGCAAGTCACCAAGAACTATGTTCACTGTGGTTTGGCATTCCACAAAGAATCTTTTCTTTGACTTTTTAATTTTTGTCATTCTAGACTCATACTGGATCCAGACAATTTAAAAATCTTGCTTCAGACAACCTTCCTAACTTTTTACAGTTAACATAATAGCTTCCAATGATAATGAACCAAACAACCTCTTTGCATTTTATAGACCATTTAAAGCCAGCAAACTAATCATTTAGTAATGCAATAGTTCTTTACAGGAAGTGTC